GCCTGTCGAGCCGGACCATGGCTGTCTGCACTAAATGTCTGATGGGCACTTGCGTGATTCTCATCTGCCGATTTGTCCCCAGAAGAAGATACTATTCCCGCATCCCGGGACTCCTGCATTCGCTTTCTTTACAGTTTCCAAAATCAGTGCGACTTACTATTGGTGGGAACATAGTGTGGTGCTTCTTTTATCCCCCATCCGTGTGACTGGGCCATTGGTGCTTTTTACAGTTGATGGTATCTTAGAACTGAGGGACCACATGCCCATGGCCTAATGGGCTCCAGGAATCCCTGGGTGGTACAAATGGTTAAGCACTTGGCTGTTAGCTGAAAGGCTGGAGATTCAAGTCTACCCAGAGGCACCTAGGAAGAAAGGCCTGGCCATCTACTTCTGAAAATCATTCATTGAAAACCCTATGGAGCACAATTCCACTCTGACACACATGGGGTCGCTATGAGTCGCAATTGACTCTAAGGCAACTGGTTTAACGGGCCCTAGCACTTTATAGCCATGAGCTCTCATTCTGACACCCAGGGAGCAGGGTGTCTTAGCCCCACCCTGCACAGGAAAGGAGGTCTAGTAAGTTACCCAAGGTCAAGCACGGTCAGCAGCAGAGCCAGGACTTGAACCTGGGGCTGCCTGGCTCAAAGCCTGCTGTCTTTCCCCTGCACCCTGAGAGCAGAAACAGCCCTGGCCCCCGGCAGCCCGATAAGAGGCTGCAGCCTCTGCCCCCTGCGGGCGTGGGCTCCAGTGTTCCTTCCAGGGCTCAGAGCCGGGAGGCGCTGGCCTTGTGACTCTGCCCTTGGGCCCCAGGCCTGGCCATTGTGACGCTCTGCCTGGGTCCACAGTGGGTGGTCGCGTGGACTTCGAGGAATTCGTGGAACTGATGGGCCCGAAGCTGCGGGAGGAAACGGCGCACATGTTGGGAGTGCGGGAGCTGCGCATCGCCTTTCGAGAGGTGGGGTCGCGGACAGGTGGGTGGGGTGGGAGGGCGGACGGCGTCCTCGCTAGCCTCTCGCTCAGGCCAGGGCACTCCCGGGGCCTCAGCCCCCTGGAGACCTACAGCCCTGCAGGGAGGGGTCAGAGAGGGTTCGGCTCACTCTCAGCCGGGGAATCCATCCAGGGAAGCTTCCTGGAGAAGGGGCTATCCCGTCTTAGGCTGGGGGAATGGAGAGGGCTTGGATGGGCAAAGATGAGGGCATCCGGGCAGAGGAAGTGGCAGGAGCGGAGACGGGTGCAGGCAGAGGCCCCTTTGAGTGGGAGACGCTGAGCCTGCCGGGACCCTAGTTCGACAGGGACAGAGACGGACGGATCACGGTGGCGGAGCTGCAGCAGGCAGCGCCTGCTCTGCTTGGGGAGCCGCTG